TTGGGTTAATTTCAAGTCTCTTATTTTTTTTCTATAATTTTAATAATTATTTTTTTTAGTTTTTTCAGTAATAAATCTCACATTAAAGATAACACCTTTCTATTTATAAAAAAACATCATTAATAATTTAAAATTTGATGTATATTTGATATTATGGTAATTTTTATATTTATAATTTAAAAATACAGATTAAAAAAAAACTATAAATTATAGAGTTTTCTTAATAAATTTTTTAAAAAAATTCAAGTGTAACCCATGCAAGAAAATTATGCGGAAGCACAATGAAACTTCAACAGCAATTCACTACATGAACCCTTAATCAAAAAATTTGAAGTACAAATAAAATATTTAATTGAAAAGAAAAAAACTATATATAGATTCAAATTAAAATTAAACAATAACAAAAATTGGTTCTTAACTAAATTTTCAAGAGAAGATTTCTAGTGATATCCATACAAAAAATTGTGGTGTAGCTAACTAAGATAGCCTTAGATATTGTTTTAAGGTTTGTTTTTGTTTTTTAAAGTATTTTTTAGTTTAAAAATATATTAAAATAATATTTATTTTATTTTTAAAAATTTAGTTTTGATATCAACACACCAAAAAAATTCAAAAAACACAAAAAATCTTAATTTAAAATAAAAATAATTTTTTTAAAAAAATACAATGCCACCATAACAAAAAATACTAAATATTTTTAAAATTATGGTTAAATCAAAACATAGCTTAACTAAAAAATTGAATTACAAATAAAATATTTAATTGAAAATAAAAATAAATAAATAATGTGGTATATAGATTTAGATTTTAATTAAAAAAATAACAAAAGTAGAAATACCTAGATTAGAAAATTTGTATAAATACAATCCCTCACATTTTCATTACTTCCCCTTTGCATTAGTGGACTTACCTTCTATAATAATAATTCAATTCAGAAAAGGAAAATCTGATGCAAAATTACCCAAAACTATGAAAAACCTCAAAAAGTCCATCTCCCCTTCTAATCTTTATTACCAAAATCTCATCCAACATGAACGTAGAACACAAACAATTATAAACAATTTCATCACTTTTAATCATATATTAAAACATTGTTTGGTATTATATTTACACTATTTTTTTTGTTTACAAAAATTTCAAAGTAAGTTTGTATTATATTTTTGTAGTTTATTTTGAATTATTTTGATATTTGATAACATTAAAGAAACATATAAAAATGCTTCCATTTAATCAAATATATTCTTATTATTTATTTATTAGGTATTAGAGGTCCTAAAAAGTGAAGTCAAGTCAAGAAAGAAAAATGAAAAGGAAATAGACAAAAACAGTGTGCGTTAACAGAATTGAGAAAGAATCAAGGGGGTTTTTTTTGTCGTTTTCTTTAAAGTCAGAGATTTGCTTCTCTTCTTGTCTTCATCTTGACCACCCCTACATCTTGATCACCCCTATATATATAAAAAAAAAATCACATTGTTTTCCTCTCCCTCCTACCAAACACTCTCGTTCTCTAACACATTCACCAAACAATATTAAAGTCATCATCTTTTTTATGTTTTACTTCTGATCAGGTTAGTTTCAAAATTTCTATGTGTTTCTATGGTTTGCATGGCTGGTTTTCTGCTAATCAGAGAATTATGGATATTTAATTTTTTTTATTGCATTAGATTAATCATGGGTTTTGATTGAATTTATGTTTGCTTATGCAATTTTGTGTTTCTATGATATCAGTTTTACTAATATTTAATTTTTTTAATGTTTTTGTTTATGGGGTTTTGTTTTTTATGATGTTTTAGCTGACTTGACTCCAAGTCAAGTCAATGCAGCTGTTTTTTATTTCTGTCTGTTACTGTGAATTTGGCCCAGTTCTTTCTTTTTCTTTTTGTTCATAGTTAATATGTGTGTGTGATAAAAAACGATAGAAAAGTTTTAATTTTTGCAATGTGGGGATTGTTTTCTTTTGATGGGGTTTTTGTTTAATGTGAAAAGAAGTGAGATGTTTAGATTTTGGCACTGGTGCTTGGTTAAAGGTTGATGGCTATGTGTGTTTGATATTGTTAGCAGTGACAGACAATGGCTGCTGTGATTGCCAAGATGTGCTAGGTTGAAGGTTGATGGTTTTTTATGTTTGATGTTGTGCAGTGACAGACAATGGCTGCTATGATTGCTAATTCTCGGATTAATAGGGGTGGTGGTAATAAAATTAGGAGATTTCAAGGAGCTGGTTTGAAGTTTTCATGCCGTGAAACAAGGGAAAGAGTTAAGGAAAATAGATTCAACGAGGTAGTACAATCGAAGGCGAGAAGGAAGATTTCATGTAAGAAGGTGGAGGTAATTCAATTGTCATCAGACAGTGATGATGATGATGACTGGTCGCCCCGAAGGAGAAAGAAGGCTTTGAATAGGAAATTGATATTAGCCCCAGAAAGTGATCTTTCAGAGAGTGATCACCAGTGCTCGCCCTCGGAAATAAGGAAAACTTTGTCTGAGCAAATTAAGGCACCCCCAGAAATTGAATTGTCAAAAACTGATGATGAGCAGTTTCTGGGAGCAAGAAGGAAAGCTTCATATGAGAAAATTAAGGCAGCCTCTGAAATTGAATCTTTGAAAAATGATGATCAGTGGTGTTCAGGAACAAGAAGGAAAGCTTCAACTAAGAAAATTAAGCCAGCATCAGAAATTGAATTGTTGAGAAGTGATGATCAACGGCGCATGGGAACAAGAAGGAAAGCTTCATCCAAGAAAATTATGTTAGCTCCAGATGTTGGATTTTCGGAGAGTGGTGATAAGTTGCCTTCAATGAGATTTGAAACCTCCTCTAAGAAAATTAAGTCAGCTTCAGAAATTGAGTTGTTGAAGAGTGATGACGAGTGGTCACCGCGAGTGAGGAGAAAATCTTCATCTAAAAAAGTGAAGCCAGTTACGGTATCTGAGTTTTTGCAGAGTAATGTGGTCCCGAAGGGGCAGCAGAGCGGTTTAAACAAGCGTAGTAGAAGTAGTTCTGTAGGTGTAGATTTTGAGGGTGATTCAGAAGAGGATCTGTTAGAAGCAATTTGTGTTGTAAAAATGAGAGAGAGAAAACGAACTAGGAATTCAAGTAAGGATATAAATGAGAGAAGTCTGAAGGAGGCCAGAGAGAAAAATATAGGTTCTGTGAATTCTTCCTCATCTTCTTCTTCATCATCAGCTTCTTCTAGCTCATCAGTTTCAAAACGTGATGGTTATTGCAATGGTGTGTCTGCAGTGAGAAATGTGAAGGTATCACATCGCATCCCTTTCAGTTTGTTTTGGTGCTGCATTGAGTTATACTTTCTGTAGCCATCTGTTGGAGAGAGTGGCCCCTGTTATACTGCATTTCATTTTTGTGGCTGAATGATGCTGATTTTTCTTGCTTCAAACAGATCAAAGGACAAGATATCGAAAGATGTCACCAGTGCATGAAAAAAGAAAGAATAGTTGTTGTCCTTTGTAGGAAATGTAATAGAGTGTACTGCGTACAGTGCATCAAACAATGGTAAATTTTCTAATGACAAACCAATTATCCAACGTGATTTGTTTTGTCTAGATGAACTTAGATATCCTTTTGTTTCTTATATTATCTCATTTGGTGTATATAGGTATCCTGAGATGACAGAAGGGCAATTTGCAAAACGATGCCCATTTTGTCGTAAAAAATGCAATTGCAATGTGTGTTTGCACTCAAGCGGGTTGATTAAGGTTGGTCCTGTGCTCATGTCCCTCTTTGCTTGTGATCTGTGAGGATATTTAAAGTTAAAAAGAAGAAAAAGAAGTGAAAGCTGCATCATGTTAAATACTTGACATATCAGCAGTTGGAGGAGTATTTTTATTGCTGAAAGTTACGTCGGATGTTTTTCACTCTTTCCTAAGTAGTCCATCGTGTTTCTTGTCTCCAGACATCAAAAAGGGATATCACCAACAGTGAAAAGGTTCAGCATCTGCATTATATGATCAAGTTGTTGCTTCCTTTTCTGGAACAAATCTGTGATGAACAAACTGAAGAAATGCAGATTGAGGCCGGCATTCGAGGTATCCTCTGTTTCCATGACAGAATTTGATGTGATCAAATGAGTTCTTCTGTTAAACTTCTTTTTGCTGATAGCTTTTTGATGTGCTTGTGGCAACCAGGTTGCCCATTTGATATAGCTGAGAACTTTTGCTACAGTGATGAGCGTGTATATTGGTACGCTCCTTCTCTCCACTGAACAAGTAATTACCTTTTGATTTTAGTCACTCAATTAAAGTTCATTCACTGCATTTCTTTTCGGGATTGTGGAGCAGCAATCACTGCGCCACTTCTATCATTGACTTTCACCGCAGCTGTCCAAAATGTTTTTATGAACTGTGCCTTAGTTGTTGTCGAGAGATTCGTAAGGGAAGCCTTTCAAGACGTGCTGAAAAGAAGTTTTGGTATGTTGATAGAGGCTCTGGTTATATGCATGGTGGAGATCCACAACCTTGTCATTCCCAAAATCCTTATGATCACATTGAGCCTCTAGTTCTATCATGGAATGCCAATGAAGATGGTAGCATTTCTTGCCCGTCAAATGAAATGGGTGGTTGTGGTGATTGTGCATTGGAGCTAAAGCATATCCTTCCGCCAAGACAGGTTGCGGAGTTGAAAAGGAAGGCAGCAGAATTATTGGAAATTTGTGGCACTGAACAGGCAAGTTTGATGTGCAAGTGCAATGAAACAGGGAAAGGACTGTTAAGAAGAGCAGCGTTCAGGGAAGGATCTGAGGACAATTACTTGTATTGTCCTGCTTCAAAGGATATTCTTGAGGATGAAAAACTTTTTCACTTCCAAAAGCACTGGGCTAAAGGTGAGCCAGTTATAGTTTGTGATGTTCTTGAGGAGACAACTCATCTGAGCTGGGAGCCGATGGTCATGTGGCGTGCACTATGTGAAAATGTGGATTCAGATGTTAGTTCAAAGATGTGTGAAGTGAAGGCTATTGATTGTTTGGCATGTTGCGAGGTTTAGCTCCACCATCCTTCCCTGCACTTATTTTTCAGCCAGGAACACTTGTCAAAGCCATTTGGATGACAGAATGAGCAAAATCATCTGTTTTGCTTTATGAGTGATGGAAAAGAAATATGTTCCGCACATATACTTTCTGAATTTCTTACTCTAAACTTGTTATATTTTACTTTAACTCACAGAATGCTGACTTTGTAAGAATATTCAGGTGGAGATTAATACCCGACAGTTTTTTAAAGGCTATATGGAAGGGAGAACATATCATAACTTTTGGCCTGAGATGCTTAAGCTGAAGGACTGGCCTCCATGTGATAAATTTGAAAAACATTTGCCACGCCATTGCGATGAGTTTATCAGAGCACTGCCATTTCAAGAATACAGTGATCCAAATGCTGGAATCCTGAATGTTGCTGCGAAGTTTCCTGAAGAAAAGCTGAAACCAGACTTGGGTCCAAAAACTTATATTGCATATGGTACAAGAGAAGAGCTTGGAAGAGGGGACTCGGTGACCAAGCTTCACTGTGATATGGCAGATGCGGTACATTTTATTTTGTGTACAATTTATTTCGTGTAGTAAAAGATGGTTATTTGAATGGTGAGCAATTCCGTGTGCCAAAAACTGTTATTTATCTAATCTCAATTCCATGTGCCAAAAACTGTTATTTATCTAATCTCAAATTTCTGTTGAGTATATGCATCCTGGTGTCCAAGAATAAATTTAAGTGGGCTCCTACAGTTCCAAGCAAATTTGTCCTCTTATCACATAAATCACAGGAATCGATAGGTTTGCCGGTTTAAATTATATTATATTCCTTTCAGTTTAAGATGACATAGCAGAATTTGCCTTTTGGTTGTAGAATGTGCTGTTTACTTGGGAGCATCGGGTTCTTTATTAGGCAAAGAAAGCTGACGGTCCAAGTATTTGACTTTTGTGTGCATCAGCTAAAGCGATTCGTATCTCTATTGCAATATTGTGCTTTGAATTGCATTTCTGTGCTGATGTCTCAAATGTCTATTATCGAACAAAAATATTCCCTTCCAATTTTCATACCAACTTTCTATGAATTTGTGTTCCAAATTTGCATAATGGGCAACAATTTGGAGTTTTACTGGAGCAAGCTTTGAGCTCTGAAGGTGCTTGGCATTCAAGAGGCCAGAACTTGGAATGCAGTGATTGTTCATAAGACATCATTTATACTTGTTGATTTCTTGTCATACTTTTTTTTTTCTAATTAAGGGAAAAATTGTTCTCTGATGCAGGTGAATATTTTGACGCAAACTGCCGATGTACTATTAAGTGAAGCACAACACTCTGCCATTGAGCAGTTGAAAATGAAGCACAGGGAACAGGATGAGAAGGAACATTTAGAAAAAGACAAGGTAGACAATCCTCACATTGAACTTGATCAGGGAAATGATAGTTTGAAAGAAGAGATTGATGTCTCAGAAATTAGAGGGCTGCAGCCGCAGCCCTCTGAAATTAATGAAGAACTAAAGAACTCTGAAGATGTGTTAAGAGGAGCTGCACTTTCTGGTTTACCCTCAGAAGTGGAGACAGCGGACACAGCAGGTGGTGGCGCTTTGTGGGACATTTTCAGGAGGGAGGATGTTCCCAAGTTAGAGGAATATCTTAGAAAGCACTTCAAAGAATTCAGGCACACTTTCTGTGCCCCCGTAGAACAGGTATGTTCTATGGTTCTCTCTTGTCTTTTTTTTTTTCCAGCCTTGTTCGTTGTCATTGTACCAAAAATTAACTGGTTGCAAGTAGGTCGATCATCCAATTCATGACCAATGTTTCTATTTAAATTTGGAGCATAAAAGGAAATTGAAGGAGGAATTCGGTGAGTAATTGTAAAACACTGGTTTTATTTGCTTTAGACGTTTTAGGTCCAATGTATTCTGTATAGTTTGTTGATCACTTTGATTCGTTCACACGCCAGGAGTTGAAGCCTGGACATTTGAACAAAGAGTTGGAGAGGCCGTATTTATACCCGCTGGATGCCCACACCAAGTTAGGAATCTTCAGGTGCGTCCTTAGACTCCATTTTCCTTCTTCAAATATGTAAAGGTTTTGTTATTAACTATAAACTAAAAAAGAAATGGTTTTACTATCCCTCTTCTTACAATATTATATTCATTTGAGTGGTGTTTTGCTTTTTTTTAATATTAGATTTATTTTTTTATTGAGTTATCATATTCTTATAATATAGAATCTAGATTTGATAGGTTAATTTAAGTGAGTTGAATTTTTTTTTTAATTTTTTAATTTAATATTAAATTGATTGAAAATTAAAATTTATTTTGTTTATTTTCTATTATGTTATTTCAGCTTGTTGACTTAGGAATAATACTTAATGGGTTAATTTGAGTCGATATAGGTTGTTTTTTTATGTTTTTTATAGTTGATTTTTTTCAATTTCATTATCCAACATCGAGTCAGTTAAGAATTAAATTTTATAATTTAATTTGATTTGCTTTCGACGAGGATATTTTGTTCTTATTATCAAAGTTATGGGTTTTGGTATATTTAACCATAGTTAAATCAAGTTATTTTTTTATTTTTTCTTTAAAAGATTATCTCAGTTTCATGATTCGGGTTATGGGTTTTTTAACATTGGATTTTCTTTTTTTGGGGTTATTCTTATTTCATGACCTAAGTCACAAGTTTTGTTAATTAACCTAATTGACTTATTTTTTTAATTAATTTTTTTTTCAATTTCATCATTTAATATTGAGTTTAATTAAGAATTAAACTTTATGATTTGTTTTGATTTATTTTTTATTAGGTTATTTCGGTGTCATGACCTAGGCATAATGTTTAACGGGTTAACTCGATTTGACTTGACTTATTTTTATATCATTTTTAAATTAAAATTGATATAAATTTCATGATTCAATAATTGCTCCAACATGAGTGACTCAGAATTAAGTTTTATAATTTGCTTTGATTTATTTTTGTGTTTTAAGTCTCATAACAAAAGTTATGGATTTGATAAATCAACATTAGTTAAATCAAATTATTTTTTTATTTTCATTTTATTAAGTTATTTCAACTTGATTACTCAAGTAATGAGTTTAGCGAATTGACTTAGGTTATTTTTTATGTTTTCTTTTAATCTAATCTTTTAATATTGAGCTAATTAGGGATTGGAATTTGTAATTTATTTTGATTTGCTTTCCATGAGGTTATCTCGATTTTTTGACCTAAGTCACGAGTTTGACATGTTAACTCGTGGTTTTTAGGTCATTTTTTAAGGATTTTTTTTCCTTTCCAAAATCATCTTTCAACATTGGGTTGATTGAAAATTAAACTTTATAATTTATTTTGATTTACTTTCTATGAAGTCATTATAGTTTCATAACTTAAGTCACAGATTTGACATCTTAAATTGAGTTTACTCAAGTTAATCTATTTTGTTGTTATCTTAATATTAAAAAAAGGATCTCATCTTAATTATTTTTTTGTTAAACAATGTTTTTACGGGTTGTATGAGTTGTTTTTGGACTTGTTAAGTCAACCAGTTTACATTAGGTCAACATTCACACGATTAGAAATTTTTTATTAGCGACATCTAAATATGTTCTTTTGCTTAACAAAAATTTGACCTAACTAACATTGTAGTGCACGTCAATTATCAAACTATAAATTAAAAAAGAAGGGGGTTTCATTGTACCCCTCCTCACAAAGAGCTATTTATTGCTATAATGTTTTGATTTCTTTTTTTTTTTTGTTCTTTGCTTTGATTTTATTCTTTCAATCAATTAGTTTATTTTACTTTTTAATATTAGATTTGTTTATTTATTGAGTTATTACACTTTCATGACTTAATTTTTTTTTAATTAACTTTTTTTTTTTAAATTTCATATGTTAATATTGAATTAATTAAGAATTAGATTTTATGATTTATTTTATTACTTTCTATTATGTTATTTTGACTTTATGCCATAAGAATAGTGCTTAACGGATTAATTTAAATTAACTTAAATTGTTTTTTGTGTTGTTTTTAATTATTATTTTTAAATTTTATTATTCAACATTAGGTCAATTGATAATTGAATTTTATAATCTATTTTAATTTACTTTCTATTAAAAATCTTAATTTTATGATCAAGGTCATAAGTTTTGGTATATTTAACCTTAGTTAAATCAGGTTATTTTTTTATTTTTTTTTATAAAAGTTTATCTCACTCTTTTATCGATTTTGTTGAATTGAATTTTTTTAATGATCATAAGCCTTTCAATATTGGATTTATTTTTTATTAGGTTATCTTTATCTCATGACTCGGATTGCGAATTTAACTGGTTAACTCAATGGACTCAGTTTTGTGTTTTTGTTTTTTTAATTGAATTTTTTTTTAATTTTATTATTTAGTATTCTATTTGATTATGAATTAAGTTTTATGATTTGTCAGTTTTTTTTTTATGTTATGTCAGTCTCATGACCCGGTACTTAATATGTTGATCTAGGTTGACTTAGCTTATTTTTTTAATTAATTTTTTTTACAAATTTCATCATCCAATATTAGATCTGACAAGTGCGGTTAAGAATTAAATTTTGATTTAATTTCTATAAAATTGTTTCAATCCCATGATAAAAGTCATATATATGGTAGGTTGGTCCATGTTAAATCATGTTACTTTTTATTTTTTTTATGAGATTATCTCAATCTAATAACTCAGGTCATAGGTTTAACGGATTAACTCGGATAGTTTTTATATTATTTTTTAATTTATTTTTTAGTCATATCGTTCAATATTGAGCTGATTGAGAATTGAAATTCATTGTATCAATTTATTTTTCATGGGGTTATCTCAGTCTGATAACTCGAGTTGTAGGTTTCATATGTTAACTCGAGTTGTTTTTTGAATTTTTTTAATTGATTTATTTTTTAATTTTATTATTCAATATTACATTGATTGAGAAATAAATAATATAATTTATTTTTATTTTTTTATAGGGTTATTAGTCTCATGGTTGATGAATTTAAAATGTTAACTCTTAGTAATTTAGGTTAATTCAATATATTTTCATTTTAATATTAAAAAATATTTTCTTATTTTTTTTTAATGAAATTATATTTTTAACGTTTTTTTTTTAATAAGTTACATTAAATCAATTTTCACGTATTTTTTTGCCTTACTAGAGCACTGGTAGCACGATATAATCTATATCATGCTAAACTAATTTGCCCTTTTCTTTTTGTACAAAGTAAAAGTGTTATCTCACATGAATCGCTGCTAGAGTGATAAGACAAAGTAATCATCGCCATTGAATTGTGGGCCCCTCTATTTTATGTATCGCAAATTAATGTCTGAATATTTGATTTTAAGGATGCCTAGACTAAAAAAAATATTTGATTTCCTAAACTAAATAGAAAAAAAATAAATTATTTAGCTTGTATTTTAGCAAAATATATCACATTTTTATTTTTCGAATAAAATAATGCATTAGGGTTCTATGTGATAACCCTATTCGACTTCAATTTTCTTTTTCTAACTTGTTGTCTTCTTATTTGTGTTTCTGTCTATATCAGCTAGTGCCAAAGTCTAATGATTTTTGGTAGTTTTGGTTAAAAGTCATAAAGGACATTTATAAGAGCTCAATAATTCTTGGTGATTAATTGTTATATGTTATTGAATAACCATGACCAGAAGAGGTCGCAAATTAGAACTTGTTTGTTTAAAGGGATAAGAGGTTTCCCTCGAGAAATAGACGTTCAAGAGCTGGTGATAGAAGACTTATAGAAACGAATTGTAGAATTGAAAAGAAATGTCAAAGAACTGATATAAAAGATATGTAGAGATGGATTGTAAAATTAACCCGTAAGTTTGCAAAGGTGAGAAGCTTGGGAGGTTGAGAGAAGATTAATCACATATTTATGGTTAATTTTGAGAAATTGTTTTAAAAGAATAAGCAAAGGAAACAATTTCTTCATCAGGAAATAAAAGGTTTTAATGATTCTAGTTCTTTTTTTTTTTAAATCAACACTAAATTTTGACGAGGATGATGAAGATGATGTTGAAGTAGAAGAACTAGATGTAATTTTCTTGGTTTGTGATAACTATAAGAAGGAACCAAATTAGATGTGATTCTAGAAGTGATTTTTGATGAATCACATTGTGAAGGATGTGAATTTTGGAATTGATAAGGTTAAAATTATGAAGAGGATTTTCAAATTTTCTCTTTAACTCCAAGATTGGCTTTATTGTTAAGAAGGTTGAATATGTTGTTAATAGATATAATGTTTCTAATGGAAAGGCTGAGCAGGTTGGAAACTTTTGATTGGATATATGTGAGATTGATGTAAAAGTGTTAGGAACACATAATGAAATGGATCACACATAAAAGAATGGATTATAGTTTCTAACTGGGGTATGAACTTAGGACAAGTTCAATATCGAGGAGATTGATAATGAGCTCTTTTGGGAAAATAAATATTTTTCTTAATTTTATGGTTTTTTTATTTTATTTTTTTCATGTGTATTATCATGCTTTTTTTAAATCTATTTGAATGGAATAGTTTTCCTATTTTTGTCAATTTAGTTTTACTAGGATTTCCTAGTTTTTTTTTTTTATAAGGGATTGTAATAGTCTTTTAGCAAGTGAAAACTTTTATAAATAAAAATTAAGCATGGTAGGAGTCTTCCCATGTTTGTTGTGTTTTTTTAAGGGTTTTGACTTGTAACAAACCTATTATTTTTCATTCCAGCTCATGTCAAAAAAACTCTTGGTATATGATTTTTTTTTCTCCGCTCCAAACTCCACATTGTAATGATCCAATACTTATCTTTTTACACCAATAATAAATATTTGCTTGTGTCAATCATACGAAAACAATAATTATTCACGATAAAATAAGAGAAGCCAAAATCGATCAAGTATAATGAAATTGACTGAGTTGAAAGAGTCTTGTTCAACGAAGAGGATTAAAGAAACAATTAACTAGTTGACCAAGCAACCAAGAGTTATGATTGATCATGGGAAAGCGATCGATTACAAGAGTTTGAATGCACACCAAGAACTAGAAAACATTCTATTCAAAGTGCAAGTTCTTAATGGAATAACTAATTAGAGGCCACATATTAGCTTAAGATTCACTTGAATATTAACTAAAGACAAGTTTAGTTTATATTAAGATTCAATAAAGTTTATTATCTGATATCAATATTTATATAAAATTAGAGTTATATTTTTTAGATATGATTCAAACTTTGTACAAGCTTTTCGTTTATTCTCTTACACCTATTTTCTACCATATATTTGTTGGTGGACAACACAAATAACATTTTTAAGGTTCGAGGTTCGGAATCCTTACATTTTGTATGATTTTGCGGGCTTACCACGTGCTTTCCTCTAAGATTAAGTTTTTAATTATAGCTTTTTCTAAGTGAAATGAAGAAACATAATTCAAATAGCATAATTGATCCGAAAGTATTTAGACTTTGACTCGAGTGGCCCATGCTTTACCAACTTAACAAAGTTTGTATGGCAAAAATTGTTATGAAGACTTGGTCTCTCATATTATTATTATACTAGATATATTGGCAAAATTTGTTGGAACCTATACATCTACGTGTGATTCCAGTAAAATTTTATGTTTACTAACATTATCATTCTATGTTCATAAAATTAGTGTTAAGCATTTCACACAACCAATTAGGTAAACCAAACAAAATTAATGTTTTTTTTTTTTAATTATGGAGGACTTGGTTTTGTGTTGTTTAGTTTTTTAAGAAATGGAAGAAATAAATAACTAAGTTGTCAAAAAAATCATCAATTAGTAAAAATGAGAAATTTTAAACATGTCAATTGGCAAATTCATAGGTTTAATTCTTATTAAATGCATAATGACACGATCAAGAAGTTGATGTTTTATCCCAAATGCAGGAATGTTGAAGTAATAAATAACCCGACAACACCAAGATAGAACCATAGGAAGGTCAACTATATAAATTACAAATAATATATATAATAAAACAAAGAATTTAAAAGGACTTTGACATTTGAGATTAATGTGAAAATTAAACAAAGATAAATTAATTATCAATGTTAGAAGATTCACTAATGGTATTTCAAATAAGTATAGTATAAACTCTTTTTATTACTCAATTGAAAATCATAAACAAAGCAAGTTCTAATTGAATTATAAATTATTAACATATTTATATTAATTATCTTATTTGAGTAATGTCAATGCTTGTAAATGTGATCAGGTATTAATGGTGATCACTTATGTTAACAGCAAATCAAGTTACATTCATAACATAAGTGTCAATTATATCATATAGTTAGTTATGAAATAATCAAATATTTGTTATACTAAAAGTTGTACAACACAAATCTATATTAACCATTTAACAAGTAAGATATTAAGAGGGGGTAAAATAACAAATACAAAATATGTTAGTTTCAAACATTAAAATTCATATTGAGTTTATACTATACTTATTCTTACACTATTAGTGTATCTTTTTCACCTCCATAAAATAAACTTAGCTAGTCATAATGAAGATAAAAAATGTAAATAAATAAAATAAAAACATAATAATGATATACATTCACTAAGTAAAGGAAAGGAAAGGAAAGGAAAAATATAAACAAGAGATAAATATAGCATGAAATAAAACTTTGAACATTACAAAATACAAAGAAAGAGAGTAAGAGCTAAATCTTAATCTGAAAACCAAGATGTTTAAATGTATAGCAAATGCCTCCTTTTATAAGTTAAGATTTGGAACTATTAATTTAATTATTAATTATTGAGTAGGTGGTTTTACTTGGTGACAACCATTATCTTCTTGTATGAACAAAACGTCATTGTTAATATCAGAATTTGAACAGATAGTCTTTATGAAAGTTTTAGGCATTTGTCTCAGCTTTACAACAAAACAAGAATGAGATCACTTAAACTTCTAAAACTCGAAATATGGGCTGAAGGACAAATTTTGTATATTTTTTGTTGCTACAACTTGAAACCGTTGTTTTGAATCTTTGACTCTTATGAAAGTTTTAAGCTTATATCTTAACTTTCCATCTATATAAACTAGATTCAAATCCAAGTTCTACAACTCCAATTATGATCCAATAACCGAATAGTGTTCTAGTTTGAATTGACCCAGCATCTCTTCTCCAAGCTTAACTTTTTCTTTATTTTCTTAATTTCAATAGTTAAACAAATCAATCAATCTTTTGAATTGTGAAACATACCTGCATTTAAAATGAACATTTATCATAAATTAAAGATATTTTATGTTATCAAACTTGTTATTATAAAACATCTTAAGTTAGGGAATTTAATGATATTTTAAGTGAAATATGATGATATAAAATCTTGATAAAAATGCACTTTTAAATACTAATTACATGTCAATGAGTTCTTCCAATAAATCTAATGAGATTGGTTCTATTAATAAAATCTCATCATCCATGCATTACAAAGTGATGTGGTATATTCAAATCATAACATATCAATGATGATGTTATATATATCATGGAAAAAAAATTCATTAAATTGAAGGAAATAATAACTAAGAAAAAAATGGTTAAAAACCAACATACTATGAAATACTGAATTGGGCTATTTATGAATTGCTACACCTCTTTTTGGTGGTGATCACTCTACACATGTATTTCAACAAAAAGCTTGATTGAGCTCGGCTTACGTTCAAGAACCATAAGATGCAAGATACAAATGTTGTCAATTAAATATATTTATATAAAAACAATTAATAAAAAAATGGATGTAATGAAAAAAATCTCACAATTTGCTTCACATGCAAAACTAACACGTCTAAAAGATTTATGTCTTCTTTCAAATGTAAGAGTGTTGAAGTCATATATAACCCGATAAGACCAAGATCTAACCACAAGAAGGTTAATTATATAATAATAATAATAATAAAGAAGGGGGAGGGGGAAGATTAATGTGATGATTAAACAATGATAAAAAAATAAATGTCAAGGTTAGAGAATCTACTAATGATATTTTAAAAAATAAATAATCATAATAATGACACATTAATTAAATAAATTTGTAAAAATATTAATTTAACTCAAACTTATTCAATCTATTTTAATATTATTTTTAATTCATTATCAATTATTTATATAAATTTAAATTTCTACACATTTACTAAAAATTTCAACTTGACAATAAAATTAACAAAATATAAAACCAACTTGTTAAATAAGATATTATTTATTTTATCACAAAACACCAAAGTAAAAAATTCCACATAAGTTTTACCAACTTACAAAGAAAATTCCACATAAATTTTAAAAAATCTAAAACAAATCCTAACACATACAAATTACAAATTCATACAACAAATTTGTACGATGAGAAAACTATAAAACAAGTAAATATTCAAACAATATATATATATATATGCAAAAAAATAATTTATAATTGAGTTCAAATAAAAAAAAAAGATAAATTTGCTTCCTTAAAGTAAAAAATTCTTAATAAAATTTGAATTAGAACAAGAATGTTGACAAACTCAGTGTTATTATAGCTAGATTTGTTGTGGAATATTAAATTGTGGTGAGATTAGAGGTGGTTTTTGTTGTAGAAAAATGCATAAAAAAAATAAATAAAAGAGGTGGGTTGATCGCTAGATCATAAATGAAATATTAATAATGAAATTATTTTGTCAGTAACTCTATCAGTCATTTCAGTAGTAAAAATATCACGTCACTGTATAATTTATCTTTTTTGAATCCCTTTGTAATACCTTTTATAATTCTCTCGGTATATATTAAGAAATTTTTTTTATTAATATATTTACAGATGTATTTTATGATCAGGTTAATTCTATATGTAATGTCATTTGTAAAAGTTACATGTCATTATATTATATGACTTTTTTTTATTTTTTATATTTTCACTACAATTTTCTGGGTATATACTAGGAGAATTTTTCTATTGATATTTACAAATAAATACAAGGATGAGAAATTATATTGGTAAAGGTTATCGGAATATGTTTATAGAAAAATTTCACCAATATTTCTATTTATATTTATTTATTTATTTTCTGCTAGTAGACCTACAAGAAATTGGTGAATATCTTTATTGTATTGTTGAACAATGTTTGAATTGCTTATGTTTTATCCATGCAGTCTTGTACTAAGGTTGCTGTAGATTTCGTCTCTCCTGAAAATATAAAGGAATGCCTCCGGTTAACTGAAGAGTTCCGACAACTTCCGATGAATCACAGAGCTAGAGAAGATAAACTTGAGGTAACTTCTTTCCTGAAACATATTTTGCATGGATTACATTTTGATCACTTAGCTTCCATGAGTAACGTGGTTTTCTTATTCCCTTCTATCAATGTGTAACAGATAAAGAAAATGATAATTTATGCAATTGATAAAGCCATTATAGACTTGCAAGAGCTAATGGAATCCCAGAGATGAGCTTTTCTACATGTTTCGAACAGGCAGGTTTACGACACAGATACAGCAGCCGTCTCCAACAGGCAAGCAAACAACACAGATACATCGGCGTCTTGGCAACACTTTTTTTTTCCTTTTCAGATTTCCATGGAAACATTGCATGGCTGCAACTTTAGGTTATATCATATATCCTCAAGGCAGCATTTTGCTCAGAGTTGCCATTTAACTTGAAGGTTTAATTAGTGGTGCATATTACCTCTCTATGGTCTTTGATTAAATTTAGTTGCATAGTTGCTCCAAATCTTACATTGTGTTTGAAGAAAAAAACACATGTATTGCCTTAGGAAAATAATTTGAGCATATTGCTTGATATTTGATTGACCAATTCATGGGCATGAAAATAATGATATAGGATCCTGTTCATCTCTGAAATGGAAAAGGTGGAGAAAAGAAAATGGAGAACAGAATAGGCATGAAAATAATGATGCAATGGAAACGAACTATTATTTCCTCTGTCTTCATTAAAAGTTTAAACAGGGCAAAGACCAATGACTCTCGGGGAGTGTTTGGCTAATATCTTAAAATATAAAAGACAAAGATATTAAACACAAAAAGATATATTTTTTTTATATTTTTTATTTTGAAAATATAAAAATTGTTATATATATATATATATTGCATTTCTTGAATTAAATATGTTTAAATCTTTTTAAGATGATTTTTATTTCAACACTTCAAATTTGTTTGTGAGGTGCCAGCTAAACAATAATTTCAAGGGACGCTTCTTTTTATGGAAGTTCAAGATTTAATAGCCATCTAATAAAGAATAAAAACCAAATTTACTTCAATGTAGATTACGTTCTTATGTTAGCAACCAATGATTTTAGAAAATAGAAAATGCATTTATTAATTGGAAAGAAAATATTTTCTTGAAAATATATTTTCTATTTTTTTATTATAATTCATTTAATTTCTCATATTGATTTCTTTCAATTTTAGGTATAAGTCAATGAAAATCCTAATTATCTGAGGTTGAATTTAATCAGTACCTCAAAACAAAAAGGACAACTATAGAAAAAATAGAGAGATTTGATTAAAAAGACAAATATGATACATTGAAATAGTTTCATAATGAATTTATATATGAAAACGAATACTTTGAAATTATTGATAAAAAGGTTGTCTCCCGCAACTATAATTGCCACAATAATCAAATTATAGCTTTAAAATCCGATCCGATGAGTTGACATGAGACCCAATTAATCTGAAGTTGGAACCAAGCTGGATTTATATAAAAAAAAAAAATTAGTTAAAAACCTGGTTGACCCGGTTAACACGGCGGATTAACCTAGTTGACCTAACAAGATTCGGTTGCAACCTATTAACTATTTTTTTATTTTTTATCAAAACAATGCTATTTTGATTTATAAAAAAAATTTGAAGTTAACCCAGTCAAAACTCAGTGACCATGTCAAAACCCGTGATCCAAGCCTTAGATCGAGTTGACTACCAAGCCAGCTTTAAAAACACTGAACCAAATAACCATTTTATAACACAATCCACATCACTTGCACACGATTCAAATTAAATAAAAAAAAAAAACCCGCTTTCAACATTAAACTTGAGGTTCAAATATTAGGAAAACAATTTCACCAAAACTTGATAAATATTAATTTAAATAGATAGAAATTTTTTAATCCAATCATGTTCGAGTAAAACCCAAAAGCAAAAGATTTAGTATTGAGTGGGGTATATATATTGTTTCACGCGACTTGAAATAAATAAATAATTTAATTTTTTTAAAAAAAAATTAGATATATATATCTAACTAATTATCTATGATATATTATAAATCACGATATTCAAGTTCAACTCATGGATAATCGATAAATATCCAAAATTCAATTGGATAAAACTTTATATATATATATATATATATAACAATGTTAGTCAAAATTACATTAAAAGAAAATTTATTTTTCATGTGTAAACCTAAAACCTAAATTATTAAGAATAGAATGATTACAAAATAAGAGAACAAATTCAACTATGAAAGATAAAAATTCAATATTTAAGTAATTGGATCTTCTCATGCAAACAATGAACTCACCTTATATTAGCAATCCCAATCTTTTTCAACATTTGCAAACTCAATGAAACTACTTCTTCAATATTGACAAATAGCTTCTGCAACAACCTCCAGCTTCCTCCATATTTAAGAGTAGTTGTGGTTGAGGAGTCTTGTTAAATACTCCAATAATGGATCCACTAGGGTTTCCCTATCTTTTCCAAATGGCAAAACTATCCTTATCAAAACCTCTTTACTTTCTTTTTCCCTCTTTCTTAGATGGACATAAAGGTAATCTAATATAAACTCAGCCGTAATGCAAGCTAACCGACTCATGGGAGGATTTTGCGGAAAAAGACTTATTCCAAGCAAAAATTTTGATATCAGTATAATGATAAAAACATTAAAAAAATTAATAAAAAAATAAAATAAAATTTAAATTTTTTAAGAAATATGATTAAGCCTTCATCTTTCCCATCCTTTTTCCTACTTAGTATATCACTAGACTTATAATGTTTAAGTGTTAAAATTAAATTAAAAAAAAAAGTAATATAAAAAATTAATTATGACAGCTGTAATAATTAGAGTTGAGTCAACTCAAAATATCTTATTAAAATAGAGGTCTAGATTATGAGATTTAAATAACCTGATAAAAATTAAAAAATATATATAAAGTTCTTCATTTAAAAAAAATCATGATTCGAGTTATTAGAGACAAAGCCCTCAATTTAAAAAAACTATAAAGTCTAATTCTTAATCAATCAGATGTTAAATAACAAAATTAAGAAAAAAAAATTTAATTATACAAAAGAATTAAAAATA